TTCCCTTCCCCTAAAAGCTAGTCTTTTGGATTTAATACAAAATCACCGAATGCGAAAAAAATATTTTAAGAAAACATCGGTCAATGTTTAATTTTTCGTAATGTTTGGTTTCGGGACATAAGAGTTGGCGTTGCGTTAAAAAAAAAAAAACTAGACATCCATAATCATGAACCGGATACTATTGGAGGTTTAAACTTACTTAGAGGTAAGTGCAAAATAAAAGCATGCGAATCTAACGCCCGGCTTTAATTTACCAAGTTTATCAGAATTTTCAGACTATATATTATTAATCGGTAGAAATTTCCACTCTTAATCTGGTCTGAATCTCCTTCTGAAGCACCACGAACTAAACATTGTGCCGAATCTTTTCGGAAACATTTTAATTCGCAATTTTATTCACCTCGTCCTCCAATCACGAATGTTATTGAAAATTGAAAATTAATTCAAATGAAAACTTATTTAAAAATGAAGGAAGTAAATAAAGGCACAGTAAATCCTAGACGAAATGCAAAGAGAAGCAACGCATAGGATCTGCACGTATAACTTGGACCGAATACGAGATAATTTAACCCGGGTACAATATTTATTACATTAAAATAAATTGCGCATAAATTTAGAGTGGTTAATTTATGGCTACAACTCATTTGCGTACAATTTACGAACAATAGAAACGTTTTTTCAAAGAAATTTAAACGCGTATAGTATAATCTGCATATGTAATATGTACCTCCAAAATGTTATACATTCATGCAGTTTTGCATTAAAACCAGGCAAAATATGCACTGAAAAATTAAAAAAAACATGCAAATAAATGCATTTGAATTCACTGGTCATAAGTGATGGTGGAAAATTATTATACTCATACAACTTTACTACATTGAAATTTCTATTTTTTGATTGCTCATATTCTTGAAATTTAAATTATTTAATATTGTACAATGTTTTCTCTCAGTGTTAAACAAATAACATCCATCGTTATATTACGCCGCGTTCGGAGACAAAACTAAAATGCAGCTATAGGTTAGAGATTTGTTATAACTTATAAGTTATAAGGTTTATCAATTACCGGCGGAAAAATTTAATAAAAATATTGTTAAATTAGAATTATAGCTATAAAGATTAATGCTTGTCCCACACGATTCATGTACTTGACGAGCACAGTAATCGCGATTATAACGCATAGTGTGATCCAAAAAATTTAAAAAAAAACCGGCATTTTTTGATAAAACTTGTAATTCTGTGTTACATTAATAATCAAAAAAAAAAAAATTAATTTTAAAACTTTTTTTAGCAGTTTGGACCCTCCTAAAATTCGAAAATATAATTTGGTTTCAAGTTGTTTCGTGTATTTATAATACATAAATATTGTCCACCAATTGTTTAATACAAAATCTCGGCCTTTTTTCTAAGATAATCATTTGTATTTTGAAAAATGCAACGTTTTGACACATTTTTTTTCCCCAACAGATAGTAAATATTATATTTTATAGATTTTTGTCGACCAGCCAGTTGTGCAAACCAAATAAACGGTATATAGGTTAAAAAAAAAAAAAACGGTAATTTTCGGATTTTTTCTTATAAAAAGAATTATAAAAAAAATTAGTTAACAACAGACCAATTTAGGATTATGAAAAACGGTTTTTTTTTATAAAAAATATATACAATTTGACTACCCACATGAACAACTCGGAACCTAATTATATTTTCGACGTTTAGGGAGGTCTCAACTGCTTAAAAATGTTTTAAAACTAAATTTTTTTTTAAATTATTAATGTTACCCAAAATTACACGTTTTATCGAAAAATGCCGGTTTTTTATTATTTTTTGGACTACTGTATTGTTAATGAAAACTGATGAGAAACCACGATTGAAAAAAATCGTGATACTTTAAGAAACTCTGTACAACCAAAACTGTACCTACAAGCCGGTTTCCATTGTTCGTGACATATTTTTTTTTTTTTTATAACTATGTAAAAAAAAAAATCGAAAATATTTATTTTTATAATAACTGCATGTACTTACATATTATTTCAAAATTTGCCGATTTATTATTATTTTTTTTTTTTTTAATTATTTTTTTTATCATTTGATTTCAGTGAGAATGACTACAGTGTGTAATAATTTTTGTGAATTAATTAAGTGGTGTTCATTTTATTTTTTTTACTAACTTTTGGTGTAGGTATACCTCATATAATATGTCGTGTGACACACAATTTTAAAATCAGTATATTGGTACATTACATGCTACGATCAGAATTAAATGATCACGAGCAATCATGACGTTATGTATCTGCGAAATTGGCGCATATCGGCCATAACATATCGGCAGGTAGTACCTTATCTTTGGGGTCCACGTCCCTCGGGACTCTCCGGGGCGCAACTGGGCCGTAGCCCTTCTCGACATCACCGGAATCTAAAACCATCACCGAAATCGCGTACCTCTTACCTTTCGGGTGTTTCATGCCCAGTTCCAACGACAGTGTGAATTCAGTCCATAAGGTTTTCGTCACGGACGGTACGTGCTGCGAAATCTGCCGGTATTCCAGCGGTTGTCGGAGACGGGCATACGTCACAATCGATATTAACAGCGTAAACGCGATCACTACTAAGTTGAACAAATTTAATTCAAACATTTTTTTATTTTTCGTACTAATAAAAATAAGGTTTAAAAACAAATTACGCGAGCGAAAAAGAACTATGTAGCTACGATCAAAATACGACACAGTGCAAATCAATTATAATTAATATTGTATCGACTGCCCCGTTAAAAAATACGACAAGAAATGCTAATATTCTCGAAGTCACGTTTCCGTTCCGGCGTCGAAAGGTGTCAGCGGGTAGTCTGAATTAGTCGAGGACAAATAAATAAAACGTTTACTCAACTGTTGCCAACCTTTGACACAATTATAACTAGCCTGACTATAGCTGTAATATTACACTACACAGCTACGGATACGACTGTTTCGAATCGAAAAATACAGCCGTTTAAGATTTTGAACGAAGCGAAAAATGTATCGGTGATACAATAATATGTTTTTTTTTCTTTTTTAAAACAACTTTTCCGTCAAAAATCCCGAAAAACTTGTATAGTAATGCGCGTTATAATAATAACACCTATAAAACTAGTTAAAAATTAAAAATTCTTAAAACTAAACATTCAATCGAAAACTGTGGGCGATACCAATCAAATACTATTCGGCCGGTCTGTTTGTCTGCATAAATTAAATAACAATAAACTATCAATCGAGATTACGATTATTATAATGTACTTGTATCGGTAATACAATAACCCCATGTCATGACGGTAATCTTTAAAATAAAACTAACCGTCACCGGTAATACGGAAATATTATTATTTGTTTGAAGTTATTATTTATAATTGAACTGGACGGCGAATTGTCTGGCTGAAACCCATATTGACATTATAAAAATACAATAAATATTAAATATTTTTTTTTTTTTTTTATAGGGGATCACGTATCGACATTAGTTTGACAAATTTTAAAAATGTTCATTTTCAAGGTGTTCCACAAAACTACGGCACCTGAAGTAAATTGGAAATTATCAAAAATTCCTAGAATGCTAAAAATTACGAACGTAACTGTTCTATCCGAGAGAACTTATTGTTTTCTCTGGCCCGGACACACGTGGCCCTAAGGATCGCAAACGGCCATTAAATGATCAGTGAAAACTATACTATGATGATTTAAATGAAAAAATCATAACTGTTAATTGAGATCAAAATTGTAAACGTAGAAGTACGATTTAATATTTTACATAAAATTATAAATGTAATACAGTTTGTGTTTAATGATAAGTAATTAATAAATTGTACGAATTGTGGCTTTTCAATTCCGAAAATCCGAACACAACGATTTACAACAATTAAACACCTAGCCCAAACACCGCGAGGTCAAGAGTATTGAAATTCAGCGATGGAGAGTTTATCACTATTTTGTATTATTGTTACGATTTCCATTGTTTATAAGTGTTGTTGCCAGGGTAACGTTACCTCGGCGTCACTAGTAAAAAACCGATTTTCGAAAATTCTAGGGCAATTAAACATTTTTTTTTTTTTGCGGTTACGAATTGTTACGTAGTACCAGAATTGGTTTTGAAGTCAAAATTTTGACATTGTGGTGCCATTGTTACGGTTTTTTTTCCCCGATTTTTCACAATCATGATCTAAACCGTTTGAAAAAGCGAAAAATTCCCTTCTCAACGCACCAACTAGATCCAAAATGCAACAAAAAGGATAAATTGTTGTTTTTTTGATTGGAACAATTTGATTTTTGCAAAAAATTTGTAATCTAAAAACGAGTAGGTTATAACTAGGTTATCAATTTATTTCAAAAATATATATTGTAGTTTATTGTTTAAAACACGTAAACACGGAGAATATTTCATCAGATTTTCTACTAAACGGACATAAAAAATACTTACGGACGGCGGTATGTAAAAAAAAAAATAAAAACAAACGGACACACTACGCACGATAGGCGGACCATTGTCGTAGGCGAGAAGTTGCGAAGGTATAGAGGGGAAACTCGATGTATATATCTGCAGTACGCGACGATTAATCATTGCTACCGAAAAAAAAAAAACGATTCTGAATAGCGTTCGCGGTTATACATGTTTTTTGAGAGGCCGTAATATTTACGTTTTTTCCTCGCTTCTCCAGCCGCCGCAGCACATTTTCTCTCGGAAAAGGCGCTACACTCGGACCGAAATTTCCAGTAGAAAAGCTGTCCGCGTAAAAAAAAAATAAATAAAACAAACACCATTGTAAAATCGATACATTATCCACCGCGCTTCGCTCAGAATGTAAAAATAATAATAGTAATAATAACGTGACGGGTATGTGTTGCAGGGTGTGGGAAAGAGAAGCTAGGGGAACGGCGTGGCCGGGCGAGAGGGTTGAATCGAAAGATAAGGCCGTGACCGTCTATCGTATAAGTGTACATACGTATATGTATAAGGTACGGACGCGGGAAAAGAAAACAACAATAACCGCGTCCGGAGAGGTTGAAAAACCGCGGGTGGTCGGGATCCGATACATGGATGTAAAAAAAAAAAAAAAAAAAAAAAACATTCTCTATTATGTAATTATTTTCGGAACGACGTCCGTGACACGATATTACATATCGGTGCCGTCGATAATTTTAAACGTTGGGGTTTTCGATTTGCCCCCGGGCAAATGTACACGAAATCGTAGTAGGCATACGGTAAAAATAAGAAGAAAAAAAAATCACATAGACAGAGTGGCGGGTTTACGCCACATCATACGGGGGTTGCGGTTGTTTTGCAGCGAACGTTTTTGCGGGAAACAGCCGACGCTGCTGTGAAGTCGGGAAAGCACGGTGGGCACTTATCAAAGTCGTTTCATTTTTATCTGTAAACACCGACAGACCACCGGATTGAACAAATCCATACTTAGCGCAGTACGCCGGGTACGTACACGTTTCTTTTTTTTTTTTCTTACTGAAATTCTATTTTCGATCATCGCGAGACGGTCCAACGGAAAAAAAAAAAATAATAATAATAATAATAAAAGTAGGCGCCGTTTATACGCGCTCACGGTGACGGTATTTACGATTTTACCAAGCAGAGCGATCGATTCTTAATTTCTGTATTTTTGTGAGTAACTTTCAATCAAGATTATCCCCAATAACGTGGGCACGTAGCCGGGAATCAATCGTTATCGCTATTATTTGTTTTTTTATTAAACTCTCGTTTCTGCCACCGGCGTTTCAAAATTCGCCCGCCCGCTCTACATACACGCGATCTAACCACTCGAGTCTTCTATGCTTATTCCTCCGATGCTCGTGTGTTGTGTAGTGGCAACGTGAAGAAATTTAAAAATTAAATTTTCCAGCCCACTGCCCTACCGAAAATACCCATACCCTGTCACATCTTGTCCGTTATTTACAACTGTTTGCAACATTTCACAGTTCCCTCGGTGTTCTTTAATGCGATCTATCGAATTTCCGTAAATACTTTTAATGATTTTTGTTTTTCGAAAAAACGAAACAATTTCCGTTACGTTTCTGAACACCCGGGCACTCATAACCCACCCGCCCAGTTTTTTTGTTTTTGCGAATCGCGTGATTCGAACGGACATCACCCTCCGCGCAGCCACTGCATATGTGCGTGATGATGTTTGGCTTTTCGCGCCGTCTCGCGATTATATCAAGGGCGTTTTTTCTCTCGACGATTCCATAAGACCGAACAAAAGTCCAAACGAAACGATATGACTTATAACTAAGTCGGTAGGTATACACAAACGGTTATTGCATATTTCAAAATTGTTTTCAAATTTTATTTTTATCCATAAAACTACATAATATACATGACTCGTGTCTACATCGTCTGCATATCATCATTATTATTGTAATAATAATAATAATGATATCATACATTTGGGTTCAGTAATATTTATGATAATAATAATAATAATAATAATATAATGTTTTACATGTAACAGTAATAGTAATTTTTTACAGGCACGCATTAAGATATAAATACAAAACATAGCATCGGTGATCGTTAGTATTTTTTCTTTTCTTTTTTTTTTTTTTTTTTTTTTTTTTAAAAATACAATATTACAATACCTAATGTTATTATTAAAATTCAACTTGTCGAATTTGTTTGCAGGTACTAAAAAATAAAAATAAAAACACCCACTAATCGTCGGGTATAAATTCAGTTCAGTTCTGATGTGTTCTACTATACATATTACATTAAACATATCATAATACGAGTATATATATATATATATATATATATAATAATCATATTGTACATTTATAAAATACTTAAAAATAAATAGTTTCGATTAATATTTGGGTATTATTATTATTATTATTATTGAATTCATATTGTCACAGCGAAAAAAACAAAAAAACCATTTTAAAATTACAGATAAGGCCTATACAACAATAATAATATAAGTTTATACAAAAAACGAATATTATCATATTCGACGCGGTCAATCGCATAAAATATCGGATAAAAAGCACTACGATGATAATGGATAATAATAATGTTTATGGCACACTTTTGTTGAATCATTTTTCGTACGATTATTATAACTGTTATGATACAATATAATTATTTTTACACGACGATAATAATAATAATAATAATAATAAAAAAATTTCTCCCGGATTGTCTAAAAAATAATAATTATAAGTCGACTACGAGAACTATACGCACGACGTTTCCGGGTGAAAACGTTTCGTGATTTTGATCGCGTGGATTTAAAATTATTTTGATTTTTCGACGTATTCTATGAGTACTGTGTGTATTTTTTTTAAGGTGTTTTAAACACGAAACGTAAAATAAACTAATTTTAAATATAATAATAATAATAATAATAATAATATATAGAATCTATCACAACAACATTGATAAAAAAAAAAAAAAACAAAAGGAACTATTATATCGTAAAATTAATACCGAATACAGTATGATACAAATAAATAACAATATTAATATTTAATGTATTTACAAGGAAATTTACAAAAAAAAAAAAAAAAAAATCGAACAAAAAAAATGAAATAAAAAAAAATTATGGTTATACGCGTATAAAAAGAGTTTACAAAAATTATTGAAGTTTTGCGCAATGCGAT